TAGGAGAAACAGCCTCCTTCTCTTTTTTCCTTCCTTCTTTCTTTCTTTCTTCGATATTCGACGTCCATTTTTTTTACGCTCGATTTTTTGAAAAAGAAAAAAAAAAAAATTCGTCCCACCCCTGCGTGGAGAGAAAGCAATTTCGAGAAAACGTTTCCAGAAAACAACGTATACGAAGCTTGGATCACCCGGTATACGAAGAGAAGAGGGGGAGGGGAGGGGCCGTCAATGAAAGTTTGAACCCACCGCCAGTCACCCAGTATATGTCGCGCGGAGGAAGTCGGAGTAACAAGAAGAACCGGTCGACTAGTACAGTAACCATTTCGTATCCGTCATTTTTCCCGGGCCGATACCTGCTCTAACCTCGCTTCAGTGCCCCTTTATCCATCCATCCTCCTCCTACCATTTTAAACTTCCAGTTTACGCTGGAAGAATTTTTTTTTTCTTTCTCTCTCTTTCTCTTTGAAAGGGGACAACGATAAAAGTTGGCTTCACACAACGACGGATGATTTCGAGGCTCTTCGATAATTCGAGGAAAGAAAAATGTACGATTGTACGTACACGCGAGTACACTTAGATTGACTTCTGGCAAGGGGAGGAGAAGAGAAGTTCTAAAGTGGATAGGCAGGTTTTCCATCAGGGGTTATCGATTCGAGAAAAACTTGTCGCTGTTGATCAACGCCTTAACCCTTTGCACTTTTGCGTTTTGCCTCCTTCAAGAGGCTCGGAGTCTGTTCTATCTATCCTGCAAGCTCTTTAAACGTTAATTATCTTTATTAGAAATTCGAATTTCTAATTTTCGATTTGTCTTAATTACGATCGTCAAATATTTTTTGGGAGGAAAAGAAAAGGATTCGATTATTCAATTTTAATTGGATAGTTTGATTTTCTTTCGTGAAATTTTCTTGAAACGAGACGAGACGTGACACATCTCTCTGGGTTCGTAACTATGCCAGATAACGGTAAGAAAAGTAAATTGCAGAGAGGAATCACAATCGTAGATAGATACGGGTTGTCGAGATGAAGATCGCATTGACAGAAAGTTAGATCGGGATTATTATCCCCTTGCTCGTTGCTACTTCCGGCAACGTGAGCAATGGTGAATAGTCGTGTATACGCGGGAAAGCAGGTAACCACGGTGCAACAAGATAAATTACAAAAACATCGATTGAGATACAATCGGGTAAAATGACTCGCGGTACTCTTGTTCTGTACTTTCTAATTATACCGTACCGCGGAAGAGAACAGTTTTTCGTGTGTTATCTACGCTTCCCCTACTACTTGCTAAGAAATATTCCAATTTTGCCAATAAATATTCCAATATTAAAGCGGATATGCGGATATATATGTAAAGTATGGTAAATAAATTTTTCCAGAATTTTCGATACAATGATAGATATTGATAGATCGTTGTAAGATTATATATCTTCCATAAGACAAATATTAAAGTTTCCGCTTAAATATCTTTCGATGCAGATTTAAAAAGATAAGAGATTCACTTTGAGAATTGAACGGATCTTGAAACTTGAGATATCTCTTAATCTTTGAAGAGTGAAAAAAGGAAAGGGAGAAAAGCGGGAAGAGTGGGTCAAAGGTGAATTAAGAAGAAAAGGAATAAAAAAGGACTCTTCCAATTTTGATCAAACTAGGCTGTGCAATTTTCCATGATAACGTCTACGGCACAAAGGAATGATTAAAGATGATAAACATCACGACGAACGTGAAAGAAAGAGAGTTTACAGTTGTAATTGTGATACATGATAATAATATTAATTCGTTTATTTTTTATTCGAGCCACGATGCGAAAGATCGAATGTCTAATAGGAACTGCGAAGAATTCTTTCGCGTTGCATAATTATTACGATGTAATTAGAGTATAACCGCGTTGGTGGTGGAGACAGGAAAAGGAAACGTCGGCAAGGAAAAGATACGCAGCCCTAAAGGTATCATTTGCATTTGCTTCTAGAGCCAGGTTTTGCACCGATCTGCACGCATGACTAACCGAACAAGTCGTCAGGGCACGTGTATAGTGGTGAATAATTTCGTAATATTGATAAAAATTGATCAAAAGTAAACGATATCGATGAATTTTTTAATAATCTAACCTCTAGATAAGTAATTAAAAAGAAAAATCAGGAAGAGGTTGAATAATAATATGATTAAAAAAGTGTTAAAGAAACGTTCAATTTAAGATAAATAAATTAGCGAATAAACTGGCGAAAGAAATAGCTAATTTTATAGCTAAAATATATATTAACAGTTTAGTCTGTATTCAATGGCGAGTTTCCAAGATTAAAATAAAAATATAAGATTATTGCAACAAAAAATGATATACATATTAATCATAAACCAAAAACAATATAATGTAAAATACATTATAAAAATAATGACATAAATTTTTATCTAAAAGAAGAGCAGAGTGTGATTTCAAAATTTAGAATAACACAAAAAAGTTAAGTTGGAATGTTGTATGAGGATTCAACGCACACACATTTTTCGATTTTATATATAAATAAATACTTTTGTCTATTGAATTCGATTCATAGTTGATAAAATGTATAATGACTTTTATATAATTATAATTAAACGATGCATGGCAAAAATTTGATCATAATAACTACTGATTATATTTATTATAATCATTAAATCAAATCTTGAACGCGTAACGATTGAAAAATACTTTGATGAATACGTATCATTAGTTTATTCTCTTTTAAAAACAATAATAATGGATCTTTTTCAACTTCTTATTAATTTTATTATATTGGAATCCCATGAATTTCATTCTTCGTATGTAAAATCCTGTTAATAGTTACCACTTCGACAATAATGATTTTAAGGTTATAATGAATAATTCATAATTGTCATAAATTGTTAAGAAATTAAAAAAATATGAAAAAATATTGAATTGTAAAAATCTTAAAAATTTATTGTTTATTATATATGATTATAATAATTAAATTAGAAAAATAAATAATAAATATTTATTTCTTTTTAAATTTAAATATATATTATATATATATATAAATAGATGCTGCTTCCCTTTCCTTATAGCAAATTAATTTTGAAGAAAAAAATTATAAAATATTTAATTAGGCATTAAACTTCAATATAAAAAATATGTGAAACATTGGCTGGAAAATATTTCTATCGTCCAAGATTTGTCGTCAAGATTTAATTTACTCAGGCATTTTCACTTACCATGACTGCGCTAGTATATGTTCATCCGTGTATTAAGCGTGCCGGTGTGTCATCTAATGTTATTGTCTACTGCTGTTTAACCTAAGCATGTCTACAAAGTAGCCGATAACATCAATTAGTTGCTCCAAAATTTGTGGCAATCTAAAATCACTAATTAATAATAATATTCGGTTGATGATAGTTACACAGTCAACACAGATCACCATATGTAAACACACACACGTTCTTTGCGATACGCGTGGGATCGCGCTTGTATTAGTGCGCGCACTCTCATGCACTATCAAGTTCGCACAGAAAAACTTATTCGATAGTTTTTCTGGAAATTTAAGGAAACGTGATATCTATCACTAATTTGATCGATGAATTCTTTAATGAACACTAATAAAAAATAATTGTCAGCGATATATATTTCGCTATATTTTATATTTTCGTTTTCAACATTTTTCGCGCCGTTTTAACAAAACTGTGAAAAGTTACGTATAAAACGAAGAGAAGTTACGGATTTTCAACCTGGCGGACACCGACTGAGCTCTCAACCGGCAGGTAGGTGAGCCATCGCCCCTCCACTGTACTCACCACCACGGCCGCTCACCATTCTCCATTCTCTTTGCCTTTGCTTTACTTGGCTCTGTCTTGTTCTTTCATTTTCGTACGATTCCTCTTGGAATCTGAACTCTTATAATTAATAAATTATTATTATATTTTTTTTAATTTTTAAATATTAATGTTTTATTTTTATTATATTTGATATAATTTTAAATACATTTTTAAATTAATTTTTTATCTTAACAGAGTAATTTTGTAAATAAAAAATAAAATAGATATAAAATATTTTATATATTATTTACATTTTATTTTTTGAAAACAATTATAATTATAATTATACTGATTAATAACAATAATAATAATAATAATAAATATTGCATTTATTTATAGGATAGGTAAACAATAAATATTTAATACTTAATTGGAATTCATTTTTAAATATAATTTTATTTATATACATTAAATAATTATTGCGTATCAATAATTGCTGTTTCATCTATTTCTTCTTCGTTTGTTTTTTTATCATCTTTTGTTTTTGTGGTAATATAATCTTGATAATTAATTGCAAAAGATTCATTAGAAAGTTCACTTCTAATTTGAATTCTATAAAATTTGTATAATTTATTTTTAATTATTTATATTTATGTTTATATATGTATATAATACTATTACTATAATATTATTTTAAAATAATTTCATATATTAATTATTAATTTAAATGAATTTACCTTACAATAAATGATGCATCATTACGTGGTCTCATTACTTCAATATCATTTATTAATGCACGAAAGTTTTCTTCCAAATATTTTATATCCATATCAAGCTAAAAAATTCACATTTAAAATATGATATAAAGTGTTTTTTCATATTATAAATTATAAATTTACCAAGCCAAAAGTCACATTAATTTGACCATATTCTTTGAAAATTTTATGAGGTATTGCAGTATATCCAATTCCATTTTTGAATTTTGTAACAAGCTTGTTCATATCAGTACCCAAACTACCTAAAATATTTAAATTATTTATATTTAATTTAATATTATAAATAAATATTTATGTTTCATTAAAATAATATACTTATTTTTTACCTATTCTCATGTTTGGAAATTTCTTTTTCAATAATCCTCTAATTAATAATAAATCGGATAAAATATTTGCATGAGCTACAATAAAGTCATACTCTTTGAATTGAAATGTTCCATTCTGCAATAATTAAATTCATAAATAAATTCTACACGTTATGATTTTATAAAATGTTATATATATATCAATTTATTGCCTTTATTATGTTACATTTCTACTTACTTGAATTTTTTTTATTAATTCAACACCACCAGAATAGTCAGCTCCAACATCTCTAGCATTTTCTTGTTCTTTTAAATTTTTACTAAAAGCTAATACTGTTCTTTTATTGTCACTATGTTGAAATATATGTGGTGTATCAATTATTCTTGTAAATTTTTCAACAAATCTATTCTTCTTTTCACGCTATTATAAATATATATATTATAAATATATATATTATAAATATTTTAAATATTTTATAAAATAATTTTATTAAAATAATATATTTTTTTAATTTAATCATAATATTAATTATAATATTATTTCTTTTTATTTTATTACCTTCATATCTAATTCTATAAATGCATTAACAATTGCATTAGGTTTATTATACATAGTTGGATGATGTGTTTCACGATGATATTCTATAGCTTCTTGGAAGGAATAGATTGGTCGTTGATGATATTTTACTATCCATACATTATCAACTGCTTTCCATTTCCAACTATCATCTATAGTTTTAAGTGGACAAACTTCTACTATACTTCTATCATAAAATTAATAAAATATTCAGTATATATATTGTATTAAAAAAATTGAGATTAGAAATTACTCACTGTTTTTTATGCTGTTTATATGGAACATATCCTACTTGTTCAACTTTTACTTGTTTTTTAGCTCGTTTTTTTTTGGCCAATAATCTCTTTTCTCTTGTCCCTTTTCTAGCTGCATAATCTCGAGTTTGTATAAGTAAGTAAGAACATACATTATATCTAATATTGAGGTTATGTATAGTACGAAAACTATTTGTTAACCAACCTATGAATATAAAATTAAATTTATAAAAAAAATAAAAATTATTACTATATTTGTTTTTAAAAAATTCATTTCAAATTATAAATAAAATTATAAAATAAATTTCATGATCTATATATATTATTATGACATATTATTATATA